TTTCATTCTTCATTGGTGATGGGCTTGCGCATGTATGTTTTTTTCAAGCAGCATTAACTCTTCAGTGAATACTCGAACTCATCAAAAGTTATCATTCGTTATCATGGTCGAAGTATTCGAATGTCAAAATCAAAATCATATCCGATGACGATCGATTGCTCGATGTGAAGAGCCAGTTCCTTACGATCGCATAAATCGCACCACACCGCCGCTCTTGCATCAGTCAGAAGATGAACCACTAACGGCAATTATCCATATCTTCTACCATATCCACTGGTCTTCCTTCATGCACCACCGTCTGATCATCACCTCATCATATAATCAACAAGAGAATCATAATCATCAAACAACAATCAATGTTCTACGAAACAAATAAAAAGCAAGCAGCTAGTTGATCTCAGCAGACGAGCAGCACATTCAGACGTCGTCCTTTCAGATGTTGTGCCGTCGTCGTCGTCCTAGACAGTAGCAGCAGCAGCAGCATCGATTCCACTTCATCACAACTTTTATGTGGTCGTCGTCGTTGTCTGTTCATTCGATAGCACAGCACGACGAAATATAATAATAACACTCAGACGAAGGACCGACTTCGCCAGACAGACTTCATTCATTCATTCACATTTCCTTCATTCTCTTCATATTATCCTTGAGCATACCAACCAACACCCCTCTTCATATATATAATATACACCGTAGAATTACTAATCACACCACTCTAGTCGAATCGAATCATATTCAACTAAGCAACTAACCAACCAACCAACCAAACATTCACTAAAATATAGCACATTCTCAACGGCAAAGATAGATCAATCAGCTCTTCAGTTCGTCGGCAGCATTGCGGCGGTATGCATTGCACGTCGTACATATGATGCATATTTCTTGATGATGGTATTTTTAAATATCTCACACTGAATACTACTGCACATACTATTATTCTATTCATTCCACCACCACCATCTCACATGATTTTATACACTAACAACCACTAAAGACGTACACCAAACATAAAGTCATCTTATCCATCACATTAAAGCGCTTTCTCGCTCTTATGACACAGCAAGCGATTCCTACCAACCGGGCGAGTAGTGGTGCGACTATCGCATAGTGAGCGGCGATTTGATTTCTGTTTTGAATGAATTCTCACCCAACAGCAGCTGAATGGATAATATTTTAATTGTTCGCTTGGCCCAGGATGGAATGAAGATAGACTAGGGCAGAAGCAGCCAAAATTTTAATGTAAACCAAGAAAATTTGTTAGAAATAGTGCTCAGTGATTTATAGAAATGTGGAGAGATATTCAGTGGGTTTTGAACATTGTTTCATTTGTGTCTTGTTTATAACTTGTTATCATAGTTTTCACGTCTATATCTTATCTTGCTCGATGAGGTATACCTAGTGTTATTGTTATTATTCTCAAGATTTTCTTGCTCTTATGACAAAGCAAACGATTT